CCCCAAAACCCCAAAACCCCAAAACCCCAAAATATATAATCATTATTGAAATTTCTGAATATGAACGATCAAACACCCAAAGATCTGACTCAAGAAGTTGAGTCGAATAAACCTTTCATTGATCTCAGGTTTGTAAGAGATCTTAACACACCAGAGAGCAGACAGTTAACCGAAAAAGCAATGATGTCTACAAGAGGAGGTAACAAGTTATAAAGAATGAGTTTAATTCTAACATAATCATAGAGCTATACTCAAATTTCAACTCTCCTACTAGCGACACTTTATCATTCTTCAACTCCAAGCCGAAGAATGATAAAACTCAAGGAGGCCTGAAACAGAAGTACCTGAACCATAAGGCGAAGGAGCTTGGCAAGCAATTTCCGAAAGGGTTTTCTGACTTTATCAAAGGTAACTTTACTTGATTGACCTATAGTTGCTCCCAAGAGTCATAAGATAATTCAGTATAATCAGACATTAAATCTTGCCAAGATCTCAAAGAAAGACAAGTCTTCTAAGAAGAATGTAGGAAAACTCTCAAACCTCAAATCTTTAAGACAAAATAATGCAGTGATTAAATAAAATTCCTAAGAGAAATAAACCTACCAAAGAAATTCAGTATTAAATAATCTAAAGATTTAGTGCAAGCAAAGTAGTCAAAAGCTCGCTTTTACTGTTAACAAGCGACCAGATTCATCAACATCATGCCAATGGTAGTCGTTTCCTAACTCTGTAGGTGTGGGCAAGAGCCAATTTCACTTAGAACGAGACAAGCCCAGTCTTTTTGAGAAGGCAACCTCTGGCTTACTCTTTAACCCAAAATCAGGCAAGAAGCCTTATGTGTCCCAGTCTCCTAGGAAGTTGAACCCAGAAGAAAAGAGGAAGCTCATTTCAGAGAAAAAGATGCTAAGGTGGAAGGAAAGAGATAGAATAGTATGTTTGAACTCCTATTCTCATATTTCACCAGAATATGTCTATAGATGAAGAAGAAGTACAAACATGAAAGGAAGAAAATGGTAAAAGAATGAGATAGCTTGAGATACTTTCAATATCACACTGTCAGAGCTTCTCAATCTAAGAAGAAGTTGCCTCTATCGCCAATGTTTTTAAACGAGCCCATATTTAAGTACCTCAGAGACACTCAGAGTCCAAGCCATAGAGACTTTTACATGACGCCAAGCGAGAAAGGTGCCAGATCCCACTGGAAGAGTAAATTTGATGTTATAATTCATGCTACAGAACTTGAGCCAAAGATAGAAACTCCAAAACAAAATTTATGATTATTCCTTAAAAAACTCAACAAAGAAAAGATATACCAAACCTTGAAAGATATTGAAAAATCATGAAATGGAATTGATGCCCTACCTGATGAAAGCAATGTAGGTCAATTGTCAAACCCACTATTTTCTCCATATTATCTCTGTGTCCTTAATCTTGTCACAAGATGCTATTAATCTCGCTTCAATGTGTGCTATTGACCATCTCCCGAATAGTTCATCAGCAAATACGATCTGTTAAGCCACATTTCCAAAGATCACGACAAAATAGACCAAATGTAAAGGATTTTTAACAAAAATAGTTCAGAAGCACTTGACATAGATATGATCAAGAGTATGATTCTGAAGAAAAAGAAAGAGAAAGCTCAAAAAGTATTTGTTCTGTGCCATTCCTCTAGGATTACCTAAAATTCCTTAAGGACTCAGAAGCAGACTTAACAGTTTTTGAAGAGACAAAATTACCTCATAAACAAAGTAAAACTCAAAAGTATTTGAAAAAGTTGATAATTAGTCCCACTTTCAAACGAAATCGAATTCGTCCCTCCAGAAAGGCTTACTCAACTTTCAGAAAACAAGAGGTGGCTACAAAGCAAGACAAGTTGTTTAGTGCTAGAAAGAGATTGTGGGCCAAGAGCAATGACAAAATTAGTAAGGGTTGTCCTCCAAGTAGTTTGTTCTCTTAGATTAATTTGAGATTTTCAAGTTCAGGAATTTTTATGATTTACATATATGTTCTTAAAATCAGGGGCTTTAATTAATGTTTAGGACCGGATTTACCATTACTAGAGACTGCACCAAAATCTATAACTTGACTGATAGAAGACTGAAATAGTTTCTTAGCATCTTAAAGTGTATTATTTTAATGACTCTAACAAATATTATAAAAGACACTGTAGAAATCCATTAATAGCAATTCTATTTTAGATAACATTGATAAATCTTTCCATCATAAAGAGAGCCTCATAATATCATTACACCATCCAAGGTATTTAAAAGCTCTTTCACAAATTTTCTGTGCTCAATCATCACCAATATCTCTTAAAACTCACCTTGTAACCCCACTACCTACAACTCCTCAACCCCTGACTCAATAAGCTCCTTTAAAAAATTCGTCCTACCCTAAGCTCTGAGTCCTCGGCTCCTTTTGAATGGAGACTCTCAGGTGGCTTCCCTCCAATGTGAATACTTCCCAAGTCTGTGGTCTACTACGATAGTGGGTTTACTCTTAAAATGATTATGCTGCACTGCCTAGAGAGGTGAAGTCTGGGTTTGGGGTCGTGAGCCGGTGGCAATGGCCTAGGGGGTCGGGAAGTTAGCAAAGGCTTTTAGTAGGGATAGAGTTAAGATGGTAGTTCTTAGCAGTTTGGGTTTTGTTAAAATTTTGATATAAGCGAAAGAGGCAAAGTTTTAAAATATTATGAGAGTTTTATGGTAATCAGTAAAAGAAAATTAAGAATTAAATTTATTATTTTCATAATTCAATAAGCTTCAAAATTGAAGGGGTTTTGGGGTTTTGGGGTTTTGGGGTTTTGGGG